GCTAGCTAGCCAACGGCAGCTAGCTAGCTGCAGCAGCTAGCTAGCTGCAGCGGCTAGCTAGCCAACGGCAGCTAGCTAGCTGCAGCAGCTAGCTAGCTGCAGCAGCTAGCTAGCCAACGGCAGCTAGCTAGCAGCTAGCTGCAAGCTGGGCTGCATTTGCTGCTAGAGAGGGAGGAGGCCGAATCGCTCTTTAGAAAAGGAGCACATTTAGACAGCAACAGATTCTGCGTGGATATAAGCCCCCTTAATGCTGCTGCTGCTGTGGTACGGTTCCTGCTGCTGCTGCTGCTGCTGCTGCTGCTGCTGCTGCTGCTGCTGCTGCTGCTTAGTTTGTAGGGACCTGCTTAAGGGCCAAAATAGGACATTTCGAAGGAAGCAGAAAGAGACCTCTGCATATTGTCGGGTGTACATACACTTGAATAGTAGTTGCACAAGCCCGTAGCAACAGCGGCGGCTACAGGGCAGCAGCAGCAGCAGCAGCAGCCGCTGCTGCTGCTGCTGCTGCTGCATTAGAATCAGCTGCTGCTGTTGCTGCTGCTGCTGCTGCTCGCGTGCCGGCACGCTGGTACCTAAAATCGCTTGCTTGTGGTTTGCTTGCTGCTTCTTTCTCTGTTGAAGTAGACAGCTTTTCGGTTTGCTAGGGTTTAGGGTTTGCACAGGGTTTAGGGTTTAGTAGGGTTTAGGGTTTAGTTTAGGGTTAAGGGTTTAGGGTTTAGGTAAGGATTAACGGATAGAGCTAGACTTTCCGGTTTCGTTTCAGTGAGTTTGTTTTATTGAACATTTAGGTGTATGTACAGCTCCGCTGGGCTGTATGTGCAGCTGTTGGAGTGTACGTACACCTCAGTTCCCCGAGCGCCGGGATGGAATTAAACATTTTGTTTTTTAAATTCATATTAAATTAAAAAACAAAACTAAAAAGAAGGAAAAATAAAGATTTGGAGGCATGTAAATCACTTGTTCAGATCGCGAAGCTGCGAAGCTGAGGTGTATGTACACCGTGGGAGCCACCGCACCTCGAGCTCGCTCGTTCTCCGGCACATTTAAATAAATCATTTTAATTTAAATTTTAATTTAAAATATTCAAATTATAAAACTTGTTAAGTCCTTAGCTGCCAGGGATGCTGCAGCAAAAGAGTTCACTTCTGGGGGGCCCCCTGGAGTGGGGCCTCCAAAGGGTACTGGGGGGGCCCCCTAGGGGCCCCCAAAGAGGGGCCTCAGTGAGACGGGGCCCTCTTAACCCGTTTTCTCTTTTGCCCAAGTGCTCTGGGCTCCAAAACCTAAACCCTAAACCCTAAACCCTAAACCCTAGCTAAATGCCACAGAGCACAGGGAACCCTTCATGCAGCTCCTTAAAAACCCTGCTGCTAAACCCTCGGCCTCTGCTGCTGCTTGAGGGCTGAATTTGCAATCTTTTCGTCCCAAAGTCAAGCCCTAAACCCTAAACCCTAAACCCTAAACCCTAAACCCTGAGGAATTCGTGTTTCGAAGATGATCTGGCGCTCCCACGCCACGCAAGCGCCCAAACCCTAAACCCTAAACCCTAAACCCTCATTTTAACCCCTCCTTCCTAGGCCCTGCTTGGCTGCCCGTGCGGGGCCTCTGAGGGGGCTTCTCTGCTGCCACAGCAGCAGCAGCAGCAGCAGCAGCAGCAACAGCAGCAGCAGCAGCAGCAGCAGGAGCGGGATGTTTGCTGCTGCTGCGAGCTGGTGGCGGAGCCTTCCCCTGGAAAGGCGGTTGTTTGCAGCAGCAGCAGCAGCAGCAGCAGGCGCGGGTCCCGTGCTGCTGCTGCAGCGGCGGCAGCAGCAAGCTGCAGCAAAGAGCTGTACGTACACCCGAAACGTCCAAGACCTGGTGTATATGGACTTCGCAATCGGCAGCAAATATGTGGGGCGCGTGCTGCTGGGTCTGTACACTGCAGCAGCCCCTTTGACAGCAGAAAACTTCATTCAACTTTGCGAGGGTTTCAAACTCAAAGACAAAGTCCTCGGCTACAGAAACACCCAGGCAAACCCTAAACCCTAAACCCTAAACCCTAAACCCTAAACCCTACACTGGGAGGCGCCGGGAAGGGGGCGAAGCGCGAAAGTTTCGCAGCAGGAAGCCCAGCGGTCGTGCTGCTGCTGCTGCTGCTGCTGCTGCTACTGCTGCTGCTGCTGCTGCTGCTGCTGCTGCTGCAGGTGCACAAGGTGCAGCAGGGCGTGGGGCTGCTGGCAGGAGATGTCTTGACGGGCTGTGGCGGGGAGGGACTTTCGATTTACGGCAAGAAGTAAACCCTAAACCCTAAACCCTAAACCCTAAACCCTAAACCCTAAGCGCTAAGCCGTAAACTTCAAGCACTGGATACGAATCGCCCCTAGCTGCTGCTGCTGCTGCTGCTTCTGCTGCACTTCCAACCGCCGCAGCAGCAGCAGCTCCACACAGCGCAGTTATAGAGATAATCATCCCTGGAAGCAGCAGCAGCAGCAGCAGCAGCAGCAGCAGCAGCAGCAGCAGCAGCAGCAGCAACTGCAGAATCAGCCGCAGCGAGACAGCCGCTGCAGCAGCAGGATTTGAACAAATTCAAACACTAAAATGGATTAAAATTAATTGGAACAAATTAATTGGAATAAACAAATTCAAAAAGACAAAAGTGTAAAAAGAAATAAATGAAATGAAAATAAATAAAACGGCGAAGCAAAGAAGTTTGCAAAAGCTCTCTGAAGTCCGAAAAGTTGCAGAAATAATCAAAATAAGAAAAAGAAAAAAGATTTAATTTGAAATTTAATCAAAATGAGAAAAAAGAAATAGAAGGAACTAATTTGAAACTTGATCAAAAGAAAAAAAGAATTAAAAGAATTAATTTGAAACTTAATCAATAGAAAAACGAAATAAAAAATTAAAAGAATTAATTTGAAGTTAAATAAAAGAAAGAAAAATATAATTAAAGGAATAAATTTGAAATTGAATTTTGGAAAACTTGAAAATCAGAAAAGTGGAAAAGTTGAACAAAAAGGAGGCGGCGAAAGAGGAGCTTTCGAAGCGGGAAATTCGAATTGATTTTTGAATTAAATAAATTATAAATGATTTTCAATTAATTAAATAAATTTAAATTAATCAAAACGAATTAATTTGGGATTAAATTGAGGAAAAAGTGGACTTTTTTGCAGATTTCGCGACGAAAACTGCAGCAAAAGAGGAGCACTGGGAGCGGGAAAATGGAACTAATATTTGGATTAAATTAATTCTAAATGAATTTAAAATGAATAAATTACTTTTATTTAATTAAATTGGATTAATTGGGGATTAATTCGAGGAGTAAATGGACACTTTTGCAGGTTTTGCGACGAAAACTTGTGCGGCAAAAGAGAACCATTAAGGGCGGGAAATTCGAATTAGTATTTGGATTAAATTAATTCTAAATGAATTTAAAATAAGCAAATTACTTTTAATTAATTAAATTGAATTAACTGGGGATTAATTCGAGGAAAAAATTGGCACTTTTTCAGGTTTCGCTACGAAAACTTAACCATTGGTAGCAGGAAACTCGAATTAATATTTGGATTAAATTAATTCTAAATGAATTTAAAATGAATAAATTACTTTTATTAATTAAATTGAATTAATTGGGGATTAATTCGAGGAAAAATGGACTTTTTTGCAGGTTTCGCGACGAAAACTTCAACATGGAATTCATTCAAGACGGCGATCTTGCAATGGTTTCCCGCGGGCCCCACAGCAACAGCAGCACTTTTTTGATTACTTTTTGTCCGCTGCCGATTCTCAACAAGCAGCACGTCGTCATAGGCACTGTGCTCAAGGGCATGCGCGTCATCCGCAGGGTCTGCTGCTGCTGCTGCTGCTGCTGCTGCTGCTGCTGCTGTGGCTGTGGCTGTGGCTGTGCCTGTGCCTGTGGCTCCTGCTGCTGCTGCTGCTGTGGCTGTGGCTGTGCCTGTGGCTCCTGCTGCTGCTGTGGCTGTGGCTGTGCCTGTGGCTCCTGCTGCTGCTGTGGCTGTGGCTGTGCCTGCGGCTCCTGCTGCTGCTGCTGCTGTGGCTGTGGCTGTGCCTGTGGCTCCTGCTGCTGCTGCTGCTGTGGCTGTGGCTGTGCCTGTGGCTCCTGCTGCTGCTGCTGCTGCTGCTGTGGCTGT